TCAAATATTTTATAAGTTTGTAACATTTATGCTTATGAAGTTATGAAAGCTAAAAACTGCACTAAGACTTTTGAGACACCCTGTATAATAATTTTCAAAATAAATTTTATTTCATGGCAATGATCATTATTAGGAGCTATGTTAAAAAAGAAACCCCCCCAAAAAGCCTTTCTTTTTCTCTGGAGGTGGTTAAAGTATTGGAGAACAGTAACTGGATCTCATTTGAAAGGTAAGATTTTTGGCATTGTGACCCTGAACCAGTCATTTAACCTCTGAGTTGCCCTCAAGGAACTCTTCATGACTGTAACTGGCAGAAAAGAGATTGATCTGCATTGACTGAAGAAATATCCTCCACTGGAATTCCCCATAGCAAGAAAGTACACATTTGCTCTTTCTCCTGTCCCCCAACAAATAAAAAAGTTACCTTTTTTATTTTTCAAGAGCTTACGCTCTTGAATTCAGAGAAAGAGAAGACTGGTACGAATCAAAACAGAGTTGAGTAATCAGAACCCAGAAAACGATACATACAATGACTAAAAAAAAGTCAAGGAAAAGACCAGTAAAGTTGAATGCAGTGTAATTATAATAAGCAATTTGAGCTCCAAATTGGAAATGAGGAAACATACCTCCCTCTTTTTACTGTCAAGGTGGGGAACTCTGGGGACAGAATGCTGCATATTCTTTTCCTTCTGTTAGAAGTGGTAGTTGTGTCCCTTGGTTATAGATTAACTATGTTTCTTTTCACAAGCAAAGGTTCACTGGGTGTGGGTAGAGTATAATATAAGGAAAAGACTTTGATGTAAAAATAGTCAATATGAATAAAACTTTTTCAGAAATTTTAAAGTCAAGCTCTCTTAGGATGTACTGAATTCCTGTGTTCCTCAAGTACTAACAAGTAGGCTCCATCAATGCTTCATAGGGATACTATCTACCCCAATGGGCATGTGAAGACTTCCCCTCGTGAAACAGGCTTATGAGAACAATTTGTTTCAATGGCCAGGAGAGTGACTGAAGCAGGCACTGGGGAGTGTTTAGAGCTTGGTCATACATAGAAGACATCAAAGTCAACCACTCCATCCCCAGCTGGACTTTTGTCCCACCACTGGACTTTGATGACTCTGGAAGAGAGAATGAGACTGATGACCTTATGCACCTCTAACTTAAATCCAGTACACACACACACACACACACACACACACACACACACACACACACACACGACATCAACCTACACCCTGTGATGTCATTGGTTCTCTTCAAAAACAAAAGACTAATAACAGGGATACTAATGCAGCTGATATGGCAAGTTAACATTTTTATGTATGTTAGAAAGTGAAACTGGAGAATCATAAAATCTTAGACATTTAGAGATTATCTAAGTCCAACTCTGTATTACAAATAATTCCCTTGTACATATTCCCAAGCAGCAGTCATCTAATGCTTTGATTTTGTTGGAGAAGGGACTATGGGTGTGGAATGCTGCATATACCGTTACGTGCCAATGTGCTGGATGGTTTTGCATAACTTTTATTTACACTTTGTTACAAAGGAAGGCTCACTGAGAAGGAAAAGGAGAGGGCCATATTCAAAAATAATTGATGTTAAAACAAAAAGCAACAATAAAACTTTTAAAATAGATACACAACAAAGTAAAGAAGTACAGGTCACAGGATTACTTGAAAATGAAACCTTTTTCAAGGAGATGGCACACAGTTAAAGGAGCACTGGACTCAGAGACCTACATCCAAATTATGTCTCAGCTTCTAACTAGATATGCAACCCATGGCAAGTTTCCGGGCCTCAGTTTCTCCACTTAAAGTTGGGGTAGGAGAGAATAGTTCCCTTCCAACTACAACAGCCTATGATTCTAAATTCTTTACAGGGGTCAAAAGATACGTCCCTCCAGGGGATCCAATCCACAGGTATTTTCCTGTGACTATAAACTCTGACCTCCAGCTGCTTTCAACCCTCTAATTCAGAGCCATCTGCCCAGATTTAAAACAAAAACAAACCCTTTCCTGTCTCCTGCTCCTCACTTTCTCTCAACTCCATCCAAGGCCTTTCCATCTTCCGTGCCTAAGTTCCTAAACCTGTCAATACTCCTTCTCATTAACAAATTCCCCTTCCTCCTATACCTCTTCCTCTCACACATTCTTTTTAATATGGCTATAAAAACCTCACATCATCCTATCCTATAAGTTATGCTATCCACCTATCCTATAATTAATCAATTCAACTAATACAGTAATTTGTTCTGTTGTCAAATCCCTTGCTCCAATCAATCAACAAATATTTTATGTATTTTTTTTTTAGGCAATTGGGGTTAAGTGACTTGCCCAGGGTCACACAACTAGTAAGTGTCATGTGTTTGGTCTGAGGTCGGATTTGAACTCAGGTCCTCCTGACTTCAGAGCTGGTGCTCTATCCACCATGCCACCTAGCTGCCCCAATCAACAAATATTTAGTAAGTGCCTACCATAGTAGTCAGGCATTGCCTTAGGTACCGAGGATTCAAACACAAAGAATGAAATAATCTGATATAAAAATATACATACAAATAAAAATATATACAGATTAACTGTAAAGTTAATAAATACATACATATCTATACCCACATATGACATAATTAAATATGAGGCATTTGGGGAGAGATGGCACTAGCCTATGCTGCCAATCCTCAACCCTGAATGACCCCCAGGTCCTCCTTCTCTGACCCTACTCCAGAGCTCCTGAACACTGATAAGGAGGTTACAGAAACTGGCAGTCTGGGACCATTATCTATTAATGTTCCCTTAGGGCAGCTGGGCCCTCATTGTTGCACAGATCTTTACTGGATTAATTTTCCACCATGCTTCCTTCTCTCAGCAGATGTCCCAAACCTCTTCTCTCCTCAAAATCCCTAACACCTCACTTTTCTCAGCAGATGAGCTGACCTCCTCTTTTACCAAGAAAATTAAAGCTATGTGTCATGTCATTTGTCTTCATCTCCTCTATTCTGCACCTCAAAACCCCTCTGCATCTTCATCCTCCTTTAATCCTGATGGAATATAATAATATTAGTTATTATGGCTGACCTTTATGTGGTACTTAAAGGTTTACAAAGCACTTCACATGCCCTTTTTTCTTCTCATTTGAGCCTCCCAACAACCTTGTGAAGTAGGTGATGTTATACCTACTTACAGATGAGGAAACAGTATCGTGTCCTATTTTCTTTTGTATCAACTATTGGTTTTCAACACGTGGAAAAAAAGTAGAAAAGTTTGTAGGAGAACACAGGAATTGTCTAAGTTTTTGAAGGACTGTTACAACCTTGAGGCACTACATCGTAGCAAGTTGGAAGGTGACTAAGTAGCATTAGGATCATTTTAGAATGAAGAAATTAGAACTCACGAAGGCAGAAGAACAGAAAGCCGTTGGGGCTGCTTCTTGGTTTTTTTGTTTGTTTTTTTTTGAGGCATTTGGGGTCAAGTGACTTGCCCAGAGTCACACAGCTAGTGTTATGTGTCTGAGGCTGAATTTGAACTCAGTTCCTATTGATTGCAGGGCCCTGTGCTCTATCCACTGCACCACCTAGCTGTCCCCTGCTTCTTTACCTTTTAGCATCTTCTGAAAAGGTTGCTTTCTTAATTCTGTGATAAAACCACATTTACATTCCTCAGTGTAAGACGTCAAAAACTACCAGTAGGAGAAGCAATGAACTCAAGGTGCAAAATAAAATAAACATTTTCCAGAGTGGCCAATGTGGGAATTTGTTTTGCTTGACTGCATATTTTTTTTTTTTTAGGCAATTGGGGTTAAGTGACAAGGGTTTTTTCCTTTCCTTTTTTTTTTCCAGTTGGTGGGGGAGGGAAGAATGGGAGGAGAGAAAGGGAATCTATAGGGTTGATAAAAAGAAAAAAAGAAGAAAGAAAAGAGGGTCACTGAAGCATTTTTAAAGTACACTGAAGAGGAACAGAAGGGAGGCCAGAAGGAAACAGAGAAACAGGACAGTTTTCAAAGTTAGGTGTTGAATTTAATACGTACTTAAAGGGAAAAAACAAGTACATAACAGATACTCTCAATTCCAGGTACATTCTTTTTTTGTTGTTGTTCTACTTTATAAATAGAAATGTTCACTTTATTTGATACTTGTTAAGTCCAGAATAAAATATATAAGTTGTTTTTTTTTTTAATAGAAGAAAAAGGGCTACTGTTAGGTGTCAAAGCCAGTGTTCACTCTTGTTTGAATTCTTCCCCAGAAACAGTCTTACACTGGACTGGTAGGCTGAGAACAAGTATTCAATGTTTAGGCTTCAAGGAAGTTATTTTTAGGGCAAACACCAACCAAAACATTTTATTGGCTAGAACTATTTTGGACTGGAACATCACAGCCAAACCAAAAATTAAAAAGTAATCTGAAAAAGCCATTCCACACACCAAATTTTCTAAGGAACGAGATCTCCAGGACTTCACCGGAATAGATGAAGCACGGAATTAAAAATTAGCTGTTAATCAGTGGAGATTGAGGGTAAATCTATCCCAAACTGTGGTTTATCCTAGCCTGGGGACTTCCCTCGTTTTCTAAAAAGAGAAGCTTGTGAGCTTTTAGCCCAGGGTCACCAGTGGGGTGAAGCCACGCGAGGAGGAAAGGCTGCAAAGGGGTCAGGAATAGGGGGAGGGGGGAGGGGAAGAGACGGGGAGAGACTGAGACGGAGACAGACTCGGAGACAGACAGCCACAGACAGACCCCAGACAGACCCACAGACAGACGGCCCCCGCTACGAGCTCCGACCCCCACCCTTCGCCGCCACTTCCTCTTGCCTCCGGGCAGGGGGCGGGGCGGGGCGCGCGGGGGGGAATGGGGGAGGGGAGGGCAGAGACGTCAAAGTCACCCGCGGCTCTGTCCACCCCCCCCCAAGCCTGCGCTCGGGCAGGAAGGGAGGCCGGAAGGAGCCGGACACTTTGGGGTTTGGGGGACGGGCTGAGGCGGGGAATGGGGGACAGGAATGTGGGGTCTGAGGTTAAACTTGACGGTGGAGGAGAGGGGAGGCCTGGAGCCCCGAGGGCGTGCCGGCAGGCGGAGGGGGGGGGCTCTGGAGGGAGGCCCGCCCCGGCCCCGCCCGTGGGGAGGGGGAGGAGGAGGAGCCGGCGGCCGCGGCGAGGGGGGATGAGGGAGGCGGGGACGCGGCTCCGGCGGCTCCTGCTCGTGCACGCGCCTTCCCCCCCTCCCCGCTGGCGGGTGCACGAGCGGCGCGCTCCCGCCGCTCGCGTCGCCATCTTTTCCCCCCTCTGTCTGTCTGTCTGCCGCTGGCTTTGTCCGTCTGCAGCGCCGCCCGCAGGATCCCCGCGCACGGCCCGGCCAGAGCCCGCCCGGCCCCGGCCCCGGCCCGGAGAGGCCCCGGCCCTGGCGTGGCCCGAGCCGCGACCCCGGGGTCCATTGTCCGGCGGTCAGTCTGTCTGGCCGGCCGGAGGCGGGGCCCAGCGTGGGGGTCGGAGCGCCCGGTACCGGGTAAAGAGCCCCCCCCCTGCCCCGCTCCCCCTCCCCTACCCAGGCTCTGGACGCTCCGGCGTGGGGCGGGAGGGGGAGCCGCCCCCGCCCCCTCCCGAGGCCGTCGGGGCTCGGGTCTGTCTGTCCTTTTGTCTGTCTGAGTCTGGGGTGGGGGAGGGGGGGAAGAGACGGTCGGTGAACCCGCCCCCATCCCTGGCCCTTTTTGTTGGTTTGTCTTTGCGTCCGTCTGCTTCTGAGATGGGGACAGAAGGGCCTCTCTCCTGCCCTCCCGTCGCCTCCCCGATCTGTTCCTCTTTTTGTTGGGCTTGAGGACCTGGGTGGGGGGGGTCCTGTCTCCCTGGCCTTGGCCCCGATCGCCAGGGGAGCCTGATGTGTGGGTGCACGCCGTCTCTTCCTCCCCGCCCCCTTCCCTCTCCCCGTCTGCCCGTCCATCTGTCTCCGCATGAGAAGGGGCTAGTTCTCTCGCAGTCTCCGTCCCTGCCTCCCAGGGCCAGTGGCTGGCTGGCTGGCTGGGTGGGTGGGTGACAAAGGGGTGGCTGTTACCCTCCAAGCTGTGCCAGAAGAGTCAGCCAGGCCCGCTGGCCCTGCGAGGCAAGGGAGGGATAGGATCAGCCCTGGGGTTTGGGTCTCTCAAGAAAACTTTTAAATTTTGGGTTTCTGAGACTACTTTGTTGCCCAAAGGTGTGCTGGGGGGAGGGGAGGGGGGTTGTTTCATTTTGTTTTGTTTTAACGTCTGTAAAGACCTCTAGAACTTGTCTGATAATTATTCCTTGGGTAATTCCTTTAGTTTGGAATAGTGAAAAGAGAAATTTCATCTGATACTACACTGTCCAGTCCAAACAGGTGGGAATGTGGTAAATAGGAAGGTGTCTATAACTAGCTCTTCTCTCCAATTTCGCAGATAAAATCAGCTGGATTCAGTCGAGTTGACTTGCTCCATGGGAACAGCATAAGAGCTGGAGGTGAGAAGTGTACAGTCTTTAACTGCTTGAATTTCATCTGATTTTGCTCATTGAGACTTTCAGCGTGTTCAGGAAACTGCAACCCAATACCTGTAGAATAGCCTTGTTCACCATCATGCTGGAAGTCAGTGGGGAGACTTTGGTCCTTTTCTAATGAGGACTGTTAACCCAGCTGCCAGCCATCGTTAAATGGTGACTGAACTCCCTTTTGGAATCTGTCTCTGACACCAGAATCTCTCCAAGTTCTCTTTTTCTTCGTCTTCCCTTTGTTCAAAAAGGTCAGCGAGTCACGGGATTTACTTTTTTTTTTTAATATGGTTTCAGATCTAGGTGGGGGAACTGAGGCTAAGTTGAAAGCAATGATCCTTGAATTCCTTGGTTGATCTTATTAGGTCTTTGCCCATGTAGATTATTTTCGACTTTATTATTATCATTGTTATGTGGGCTTTAGGGATTTGTGTGTAGTTAATTTTTTTTGAGGGATGGGGGGAAAAGGGGTGTTACTCACCCTCCCTGGAACCCCACAGGTTGTTGTGCCCAAGTGGTTTGGCCACTAGGGGGAATTATGAGATGCTAGCTAGGGACATGGCAGCCTAAAATATGGAGATGTGCATCTCTCCCTTCTGTTTACCTAGCCCACATTCTCTAGCCTTATCATTAGGGCCTTGCCTGACAAAGATGAGCTAGAGAGAGGCCCTTCAACCAGAATAGGCCTTTCCTCAAAGAAAATGCTATGAAAATCATATCATAATTGCTATTTTTGATTGATTAAAAAACTTTAGAGATGATCAAATTCGAACTTCTCATTCATTTTGCACTAGAGGGGTGTATCTCAGTTTATTAAAACCCTGATGTCTGAATAAAAGTGAGGAATGTTTTAAATGCCTGTGTTGGGAAACTCCAAGTGAAGTTACACTGTATAATAACATGGAGAGGCTAACTTACTGGACTTGAGGAATAGGAAGAAAAAAAAATAAAGTTAGTGCTACAGAAAACCTCTCCCTGTGGTAGTAGCATTTATAATTTTTACTGCTGGAGGGATGGGTTTTATTTTTTAACTGATGCTTTAAGGAGATTCTCTTTTCTTGAGGATGAGGGAGAAAATCCTGGTAAAAGCTCTTCCCTGTGTTGCTTCTTATGGAAGCCTGTCTTAGCTCTTTGAGGTTGCTTTCTTTCTCTTTTGGGAGGCAGGATCTGATTTTGGGTCTGGTAAAACAAATGGTAAATGCCTCACTGTTTGGAAATATAATTAAACCACTACTGGCTACATATTTAACTTAGAGTAAGCTGTATTTGTGTATCACAGGGTTAGTTTTGTAGAGGGAGAAGATGGGAAAACCTTAGAAGGGAATGAGCTACATGCTTCTGTGTCTTAGGTAGGATTGAGGCCTATGATCTGTCTTGACTGTCTTCCTCACAAAGTAATAAATTCTGAAGAACCTTTATGCTTTGACTTCTTTTTCTTCTTATAGCAGGAAAGGGGATGAGGGAAAAGGAGTTCTGCAGCCTTTCCTGGATAGGGAACCTTTCTCCTCTTTTTAAGCTTCCTTCTTTGCCAAATGAATCTTCCAAGTCACAGAGGGTGGATTGAGTCTTGCTGCTGAAGTCATTAGCTTTGGCTCCGCCAGTGGCTCTGTGGGTACAGGGCCACGTGGGTGCTCCTTACGGTGGGGGCCTTTCTTCCCTTTGGGGAATTAGCACCGTTGGTATCCATCCATCCATCCATCATTATACGTGGGTGACTAGACAGAAGCAGCGTTTTCCCATACCATTTTCATTTACAGATATCCAGGATTTGGGGACCTTTCCTATCCCCCAGGGACTGATGCCTTTGTCACCTCTGGGTGAGATAACTACAGTGTGAGTTTGACAACCTCCTGGAAGCTCCAGTGTGTTGCAGTATGCAGTACTTGACTTCCTGTGGGCATGTGAAATGTGAGCTCTGATCCCTCTCTGGGCTTCCTGCTTACCTCAGATGCCATTCATGGGGGTAATTTCTTTGGGCCCCAAATCATCCCGGATCAGGGTACCTGTGTATCTTTCTCTCACTCTGTCCTGTGGCTGCAGTCACAATCACTTGCCAAGATCCTGCTCATCCTCTAGATGAAGTTATGGAGGACCTTTGAGGAGGCCCCCTCTTCCACTGAATTCTCTGAGGACCTTGGTCCTAGGCTGGAAAATGTGTTCATTTCTATTTCTCTGTGGGTAATTTCATTTCTTGGTACATAGGCTCTTGGCAGCTGGGGTATTTCATGCTGTTTTCATGGGGCTATTTTTAAGAATCCTTTACCTTTTAAATTTATGTGATACCCAGAGGCAGAAATGCTTGACAGTTATCACTCTCTCCAGGTCAGCGCCTTACAAGGAGGCAGGAACATTTCCAGTGGTGAAGCTGGACAAGGCCAGAACTACGGGGCCAGGGAAACATGTCCCGTCGGAAACAGACCAATCCAAATAAAGTTCACTGTGAGTATGAGAAAAAGAAAGGGGTCTGGAGGAGATGAGTTCTAAGGCCCTTTCTAGTTCTAAGAAACCTATTCTAGAGTCTCTGAAAACTTGGGACCTAAAGGGCGAAAGCATATTGGGAAAGGGAACTGAGTTGTCAATAGGACAGTGGTTAGCATTAGATTTAATTTGTGGAGGGAGGTAAGGCAGAGCTTGAAGATATGGGAATGCTGATGGGCAGAATACAAGAAGTTTCATCAATAGCAAATATTTTCTTGAGCACGTGTTATGTTCGAGGCCCTAAATCGGACACTGTCCATACAAAGCGCAAATAAGTCATAGGCCTAATGCTCAGGCAGCTTATAGCTGAATAGGCCACACGTCAGACATTGGCCTCAACTGACTGTTAAAAGGGAACAGTGCAGCCAGTAAGAACTGCAGGACTTGGAAGGACTGAAGAGCACTAGGGATGTGGGGGCTGGGGAAGATGCCACCTGGACAGGTGAGACTTTAAGAAGCATCTGTGGTGAATTGCCTCCTAGAGGCAAAGGTGCTGAAGGATGAGTAGTGATTAGGTTAGTGGAGAGGGGGAAGAAAGGCCAGGCCAAAGCACAGAGTGGGGAATGGATGTGTGTGTTACTTAGGGGACAGAGATTAGACACGTAGCTCGAAGAGAATTTGGTTGGGGGGTGGGAGGGACCTGAATGCTGAAAATTGAGGAGCCTATTCCGCAGGCAGTGAATAGCTATTGAAAGTCTTCAAGCAGAAGAGTGACCTGGGCAGAGTGTTGTTGTAGGAAGATTAATCTGCCCACAGTGAGAGGAAGGGGGACTTTTCCCTATGATTGCATTGGCATAGGGAGCTTTTGGTGAGGAAACTCCTTCCCCAGTGCAGATCAACACTTCCACAATGTGTAGTCTTAGAGGGATGTGTGGGGGGAAGCATTTATAGAGCACCTACTATGTGCCAGGCACTGTGCTAAGTAATTTTTTAAATAATTATTATCTCATTTGAGCCTCATCACAACCCAGGGAAGTAGGTGCTGTTATTATCCCCATTTCACAGTTGATGAAACTGAGGCAAACAGAGACTTCAGGTCCAGCACTCTAACCACTGTGCCACCGGCTGTCTCTGACTAAGTGCTCAGGGCTATGCAGCCTGTATGTATCAAGAGGCTGGACGGCTCAGACATTCCTGACTTCTGGGCCAGCTCTCTTCTCCATCCTGTCACACTGCCTCATAGTAGGTAGAACAGATGGAAGAAGAGAGGAGACTTACAATGGTCCAGGCAAGAAATGGCAGCTTGCCATTGCTACTGAATTGTTTTCTATGTGGATATACTGTTTGGTGTCCAGGACTGGCCGGACAGCAAAGGAACAGATTTTTAAAAGGGATTTTCCTCAGGGCTACATGCACATAGTAAGTGCTCGATGAATACTTACTGAATAAAGGGGAAGGTCCCTGTATTGACTGGAGATCCTTACCCAGAAAACATGGCAGAATTTGAAAGAGTGACGCTCTGTGAGTTAGGGGGACTAGCAGATCCCTGATGTATGGGGGAGAGAGAGGCTGTCTGGGTGCAGTGGGTAGGGAAGAGGGTTTGAATGGAAATAGACCTGAAGAAAGGGGCTTGGGGCATTCTCAAAAGACAACAGTGGTGGAGTCAGGCTCGAGATAGCTTCTGGGGAATGGATTGAGGTTACAGGGCAGCTTTTGTATTGAGAGAGAGAAATTGTTGGCATGAATGAAGGAGTTGGAAATTCTCCGATGTGAGATTTTTCCTGGGTATAGGTGGGTGTGGCTGGCTGAATTAAATGAAGATGAAAGAAAAGAGGCAAATGGGTGACAGGGGGGCAAAGCAGCAGTGAAGGCTAGAGGTGTGGCCGCTTCTTCGGGAGAATTGAGTAGCTTTGGCTGCTGTAATCTGGCACATGGACTGTGGGGCAGGTGCTGGGCAAGGGAGGGGAGTTGCTAAAGGATGCAGACACAGCCTGGGCAGGGCAGGGCGGGGCGGGGCCAGGCTGGGTTGCAGTCGCCTCTTTGGTGGATTAGGGGGATTCAGTGTAGGTCAACCGGAGGAGTTTCTGTAGAACTCACCATGTAGAGAGACTGATCGGGCTGAATGAAAGGGAGTTGGTAAATAATATGTGGGTGGCTTAACACACTGTGGCCTTTAGCCCAGAGGCTGAAGTCCATTCCAGCCCCTTCTTGCCTTAGTCAGCCAGATCCTGAGAGCCTTGGTATTCGAGGCTGGAGACAGATGCACAGAGCGGCCGTAGGGGAGGGCAGCGCAGCGCACATCTGCAGCTTCCTTGGTGCCTCGAACTGAGCCCGGCAGCCTTTTCGTGAGAGAGGGGAGTAACTGGAGCCTGGTGTGGGGAATGGCGCTCAGAGCAGGCGCCTCTGCAAAGACCTTCCGCTCTTGGGCTGGGAGCTACTCCTGGAGAACAGGCACCCTGCGTGGGTCTGAAAGTCATGGAGATGGCCGGTGTCGGGAACAGGGAAACCCTCTCAGAGGGTGGATTTACCTCGATTGATCCAAAGGCAAAAGATCTGGAGATCCATTCCCCGAGACTGTTTCTTTAACTTTAGTGCAGTGGAGCTGGCCCTGGCCCTAGCAGTAATGTTCACAGACATTGGTGGCTCTGATGCTTCTGCTTGGCCTGGCTGAAAGGGAGCGGCAGTGTGTGCAGCGGTCCAGTTGTGTTGAATTCGGTCCTGTATGGCTACCTCATCCTCTGATAAAGTGATTGGGATAGACTCAAGATCCAGGAAGTAGGAGAAGGCTGCAGAAGCTTTGCTCCAAGTCAGAGTTCCTCAGCAGAGGACAGCAGCAATGACTCGGTTTCATTGGGTCTGCATTCCAGGAAAACAGAGCATTGTGCCATGGCCCAAAGCCCCCAAGGAACACCAGCGCCCTGCTCCTGTAGCCAGGCTGCATTTGTTGGCTCGGGCTCCGAAGACACTGTTGGGGGGGGCGGGGGGGGGAGGAGGAACTCGGAGTGTGCTGGGCTTTGTAAGCTCCCCAACTTCTGATGTGCATGCCCTCTGCCTCTTTTCCCCTCTTTATTCCTACTTCTCAAAACAAATTCTCCAGAGGGACTTTTGTGCTATATCTAGTTCACTTTTGAAAGAAATGAATATAGAACTTTTGGAATGAAAACTTGGAGGAAATCTTAGTGACATGGTAAATGTTAAAAGGCTGAGGTATTTGTCCGATCTCCCATTAGCCCTTGACCGCTGCATCTAGAAGAGCAAACTGCTTTAAAAAAAAAAAATGAAACTTTCATCTTAAAGAAGTCCTTGCTTTCCTATTGCAAAGTCAATCAGTCAGCATTTAGTAAGCACCTGCTATGTGCCCGGCACTGTGCTATGCACTGGGGAAATGAAAAGAGGCAAAAGACAGTCCCTGCTCTCAAGGAGCTTAATCAAAGGGCTAAAGTCTTGACTCTTATTTTATTTTTGGTTGGGTAATAGGGGTTAAGTGACTTGCCCAGGGTCACACAGCTAGTAAGTGTTATGCGTCTGAGGCCGGATTTGAACTCAGGTCCTCCCGAATCTAGGGCCGGTGCTCTATCCACCGCACCACCTAGCTGCCCCTAAGCCTTGACTCTTGAAGCACCCATCATGTACTATTCCTTTCAGCTGAAGAGCATAGTGTGTTTTGCCTTCCTTCATTGTTAGTACCCCTGTGAGGTAGGGGGCCATTATTAACGACATTTGACAACAAGAAATGTAATAGTAAGGCAGAGAAAGGTCAGTCTCCAGTGTTACAGGACTGTTCAAGTGGGAAGAAGTTGGGATGGAGCCCCTAGATGGACAGCTTCTAGGACTTGAGTATTTCATGGCTCACCACTTTTCTTAGGATGTGTTTTTATTGTCTTACAAAAGCCTATAATGGCATTTATTTAGTTATAGTGACTAGTTTTGTAGTACCTGGGTCACAGGAAAAAGAAATGGAATCCTAAAATCTTTGACTCTGTCTATGTAATCTCTCTATGTAATACCTTCTGTCCCATACTTCTCAGTTGTTCTTTTTCCTGACTTGCCAGCATGCCCTTGGCCTTTCTTGCTTTGAGTATCAGCCAGTCTCTAAAGCTTTTGCCAGACCAGGACCACAATATTTCCATTTCGTAGGCAAGGACAGGTAGGATTATGCTAGCTTGTTGTGGTCCCCAGATGCCTTTTTCTCAGCTATTAATAGCCAAACGGCCATGTTTGAATAAGGTGGTCTTGTATTATGTAAAAGAGAAAGAATCAGAATCAGTCTGTCCTGTTTCAAAATGAGGAAATAATTATAGGCAATTCTATAATTATTCATTGACATATTATTCATTGACATTTATTACTGTAATCTGTTCAGATTTCAGCTGTAGCTGGACACACCCAGTACTTTCATATAGAAGTGTGACTCCTTACAGTAGGATTGAGTGTTTGGATAAATAATACTTTCTTTAAAGTTAATCATAGGTCTTACCTTCCTACTATAGAATCTTTTCCACTGTACTTTGCCTGGAGGAGTAGATTGATTTATTTGCTTATTTATTTTAAATAGTGAAATCTCTGAAGAAAGCAGTCTGCCTGGGGTCTTCTCCTAGGTCAGGAGGACCAGAAGATAAAGGAATGTAAGCTTTTCCTGGCAGAATTAATTTGTTTAAGTATGCTAGCCCAGGATAGCAGGAAGAGAAGTTGTGCAAAATCGACTCTTGTCCACTCTTGAGAATGCCCTTGGCTCCCCGTCTTGTTTCGGTTTGGAATGTAGCAATGCATGAAGACCTTTGAGCCCACTTGGTGCTAATTAGCTGAACTGTTCCATCTCTTGGTAGGAAGCCCTGTGCTTATCCACTATTTGGAAAGGTAATCATAAAATGTTTATATTTTCTTTGGATGTAATGAGCTTACCAGTGGGCAGCAGTGGCACAGGTGCCATAACCTAATCATACAGTTCACCGACTCCTTATTGCTTCAGTTTAGGGACCAGCTGTTATGGTCAGAATGCTGCAGAGGTTGTCCTCTGTTTTTCCTTGAAGTCTCTGTTGCTCATGGGTCTAGTGGCCCAGAATTTGGCCTTCAGGGTCACAAGCAGTCTGTGGCCACCCTGCCCTCGGGATGCATAGGCAGACTCTCCTTGTTGTGACCAGGTGGGGAGCTGGGGCGGGGGGGGGCGCTATGGTGTCATTTCTGTGGGACATCAGATTGGTATTTTCATCCTGGTTCTTCCACTTCTTGCTTGGTGACCTTGAGCTAGTCCCTTTATCTTGCTGAGCCTTTGCTTCCTCAGCTCTAAAGGGAGGAGGCTGGACCAGATGATCTCTGGGCTCTAGCAGCCTATGGGCGAGTCAGGACCCTGGTCTCTTGTGTCAAGGACTGCAGATCTTCACTTTTTGTGTTAGGGACTCATGTGACAGTCCAGGGAAGCCTAATGTTTCTATAAATAGAGATTTCTACATATACATTTTCTTTCTTCTTAAAGAATGGAAGCCCCGTGAGCGTGTGGCCTGCTTGATTTTTGTCTTTATGTCTAGAGGGCCTGACACGTAGTCGGTGTTCATAGATGCGTGGTGGATTCTGTTGTACTGTGACTGTGGCCCCTGAACCCCCTTCTTAGTATGAAGCAGGGACAGTTATCAGTAATGGTGTCGGCTGACAGCGTCTGCACAAAAGACGACTCCCCATCTGCTCTAAGAATTAGTAATCTGACTACCCTCCTGCATAATAAAATAATGATAACTAACATACTATGTGCCAGGCGTTGTGCTAAGCACTTTACAATTATTGTCTCATTTGCCTTCACAGCAACCATGGGAGGTAGGTGATTTTATTATCCCTGTTTTACAGATAGGAAAGCCAAGGCAGGCAGAGGTTAGTGACTTGCCCAGGGTCACACAGTGACAGTTTGAGGCCTGATCTGAACTCGAGTCTTCCTGACTCCAGGCCAGGCTGCCCCTAATTGTAGTAAAGACTCTAAGGTTTAGAATCCTTAAACCCTTTGCCATATGGTAGGCTAGGCCAGGAGGTGTTAGCATATCTCCTCTGCCATCTCCCAGGTCATTCTGGTCAGAAAGGGTAGGTCATCCATATGCCTTCTCCTTCTCCATCCAGGGAACATGACTTGGAACCTGAGCTATGGCTTTTTCTTCCCTTTCCTCTGACAGAAGAGGCTCCACCTATTGTGAGGTGTTTCACTGGGGCTTCTCATCTACCCCTCTCACTGGCTAGGGAATGATGGCTCTAGTTTCCATTCTGTCTGAGATCACGGAAGCCTTAAAAAAAAACCCAGATTCTCCCTTCCCCTCTCTGCTGGGCCATGTGGGGATGAGGAGCAGAGCGTGGAGAAGTTAACACCTGGAGTACTCAGCAGAGCCTCAGTCTCCTTAACCAGAAGTCAGTCCACAGGCATTATTAAGCACTTAGCCTGTGCCAGCCTCAGAGCCAGGTGTTGAGGGAGCAGAAGGGGGAGCCTGGATTTTAACAGCTCAGTAAGAAGATGAGGAGACCCTGGGACATAACCCCTGGCCGGGTCAGCCCCTTCAGGGCATGTCTCAGCAATAAATAGTCTTTCTGTAGAAGTAGGTTCAGGGAGTGTCCATTACTGAATCAGAAGTTAATTGACTTTTGGCTGTATTCATTGGGCTTTAAGAAGAAACATTGGAGGAAAAAAGCGTGGGAGGTGGAAGGTCAGTATCTAGTATCTATTACTTGAGGGGATTAGAGGAGCTTTGATCTGTGGGTTAGAGAGTATGTGCTCAGCCAGGAGTTTATAGTCTAGCTTGCTTTCTGCTTGCACACTTGGATATCATAAAGCATGCATGTTAGGAATCCTTCTCCCCAGACTGAATGGCCTAGATGTAGCCTGATGACTTCTCATCCCCTTGCCTTAATTTCCCCAGTCATAACAGAAGGTTTGCAAATGAAAGCAGTTGTTATTTTGCACTTGATTCCCTTTGAAATAACTCAAGGCCAGTAGGACGTAAAGGAAGGGAGTATGTGATATTTTCTAGAGATGTTGGCCACAGGTAGCTCAGAGGGCCTATATTACTGCTCAGGAAGGTTAGCTGCTCCCAGAAGCCTAGTGGAGGCAGTAACCTAACTTGGAGATGAATGATCTTTGCAGCCTGTCTCCTCACATTTGAGTGGTCAGATTTGACCTTCCTTCCAGCCTCTCTGGAGATGTGCTGCCCCAGCTGGTAGCTTGACTGTTTTTCCTTGTGACCACCAGGGGAACAGGTATTTGCTGGGCTGGAGGAGCAAGCCCGACAGGCGATGATGAAAACTGATTTTCCTGGAGATCTTGGCAATCAGCATCCAGCTATCCAACAACTGAGAGATCAGGCCTCCAGTAGCAGTGAGTTCTGCACCTTCTGGTAATGACTCAGGGCAATGGGGAGAGGAATATCAGAGTGTGTGTGCTGTGGGGAGTATGCATGGGGGTGAGGATGAAAGGAGGCATGAGTTAGGCTCACAAAAGGTGCTTTAGTGTGTCGTAGGCATGTGCTTACCTTCCACTAGGCCAGGTTTGAAATCATGTCTCACTCACTGTATACAGTGCCTGACACAGTGCTAGACACACATAGATCTTTGGTGTGTGTGATATATGTGTCCAAACAGGCATGGAAGTGGAGGGGAGAGGTTCCCTGTCTCTGGGGCATCTCTTTATATTTTGTAATTAATAAAAGGCAGAAGGAGTCTTTGAGAGGCATTGTTGTGCATCATCTAGAGAGCCAGCCTGGAGTCAGGGAGGCCTGGGCTCACACTCTGTCTCTGCCACGTCCTGACTTTGTGGCCCTGACAAATCAGGCCCTGCCAGGGCCTGAGGCATTTCTTGAAAATTAGTCATTGGCAAGGTTTCCCCCAATCAAAACACAGGTCTGGTCTTAAAAGGAGGGAGGCTCTTCCTCCTCACAGAATTTGGGGTGGGGGAAAATGTAGTATGAATTTAAATGTCCAGTGTGATATAGGAGTTATCCTTAGTGAGATCAAATTTGACATCTCCAGGCACAAAAGAAGTCCCCATTAAAATAGTTTTTACCTGACATTATAATCTAGAGAGAAAGTTGAAAGGATTAGCCTAATAATGCCCCCAAACAGTGACAGAATACTGAGTGGACAAGCCTGTGTCTCTAATAACAGACATGACTGGGCATAATGATATCTCGAAAAATCTAATCACTTTGTTATGAAAAACAGATGGCTCTCTTACCTAGATAGTGAGCTTGGAGGGTTTTTTGTTTTTAAAAAGGGAACTCCATCCAGGAAAAAAATATAGTTTCCCTTTTGGCAAGCTTTAAAAAAAAAATTAATACAATCTCTTGTATCAGACTTTTCAGTTAAGCTTAAAAGTAACCTGCCACCATTCTGCTTTCCCCCTCCATCAAAAAAGAGCTGGTTAGAAAACACATGCCTATTAAAGGAGTTCCAGTCTTTCGTTATCAAAGCCTGAAGCTTTTGGATAGATAAAGATAGGGTTATAACTCTAGGTACTTCAATTCAGCATAGATAGATAGATAGACAGACAGACAGACACACCGACCGATAGATAGATAGAAAGAATTAATCCCAGGGTTCAAACCTAGCCCATCAGCCAATGAGAGGAGCTAATGTTAACATGTAGCTTCAGACAAATGATCTCAGATTTACTCTGTAAATCCTGAAGACGATCCACAGGGCAGTGGATAGAAGTTGGAGGGACCCACGTTTCAGTTCAATATTATAAAATTTTCTAATAGGTAGTTGTCTTAAAAATGGAATGGGCTATTTCATAAAGGGGCACCTTAACAGTTCCACAACTATCCAGACCGCAGTTTGTGCAGAGCACGATGTCCCAAATGCTGGGACAAGCCGAGCAGAAGCCATCCTTCTATCAGGGATCTGATTTCACCTGTGACAGAATTGTAATGGGTAACTTTTGCCAAGCTACCAGTAATGGCAGTGCTTGGATCTCTGGTGAGCCAAAGAGGATTAGAGGTATGGGGATGTAGGCAGAAAGCAAGAAATGTCATACCAGTGGAAGTCATTGCCATTGCCTCTGCCTAGAACCAAGTGGTGCCTGTCCTCTTCTCCGGGGCTGATGATCAGGCCTGGAAATCAACCCATGGCTGGGGTTGGGAAGGACATGGGGTCTTGCAGTTTTGCTTTGACTGCTCAGCTTCTTGGGATGGAGGCCAGGGACCTTTCAGCTGCTTTGGTCTAATCTAATCCATCTTCCTTAAATAACTAAAAGCAAACCAAACCCAGCTTCAGTTATTAGGAATTATACTTTGTCCTTAATTGAAACATGGCCTGTTCTTTCCAGTCGGCTCTTCAGGGATTCACCTGGTTAAGAAATTAGGAAAATTATGGGTGCAGACTCGAGCTCACCCTGCTCCTGGCTGGCCTCCATGCCACCATCACTGCAGAGCAGTGAGCAGCATCTTCCCTAAAGTGACCTCATTATCACTGACTGAGTCACCCCTTCCTCTGGTAGAATCACCTTCATCGACCAAGGGAAAGAGCCTGCTGGCGTCTCTGGGGCTGCCACGGTGGGGGGAGGGAGGAGTGTTGGGGTGCTGACCTCAGGCAGAGAAGGAGTAACAAATGGGCTGAATGCTTAGAGTCTGGAAGGGGTGTTGAGGGTGAGTGCACGGAGCCCTGGAGGTGGCGCCGGGGGAGGGAACAATGTGTGACTTGTGTGGGGAGGTTTGATTGAGCGTGTGTCCCACTGGGGAAGACTGTTTCCGTAGCAGGGCTCCATGACCGTTTTCCAACCCCACCAGCTCCCTGTCTGTATATAGCCTCCTCCACCCCAGCTGTGGCCACAGGGTACTTCACATGGTATGTGCTGTTATAGGCACGTCATGGCTGTGCCTGAGTCTGTGTAGCAGGAAGCTCAGGGCTGAGGCCCGCTGGAGTCCGACTGAGTGGCTGGTTTGTGTCTTCCAGGCGACAGTGAGGGGGACGAAGAGGAAACCACACAAGACGAAGTCTCTTCCCACACGTCCGAGGAGGATGGCGGGATGGTGAAAGTGAAAAAGGAGCTAGAGAACGCAGAGCAGAGTGTTGGAGGGAATGAGGTGATAGGGGAGCACGAGGCAAGTGACACGGTGCCTGCAGGAGGGCCTCATCTCTGCCACATCTGCCCTTCACTTGGGTTGGATGCCCCCTCCTTTGACTCCTCCTCGGCCCCTACCACAATAACAAAACCGTCTCTGTCCAGGATGCTGCACGCCAGCGGCCTTCTGCTTCCCAGCCTCCACTCCCTTCCTCCCCTCCAGGACACCCTTTCACTCCCTAACCTCTGTTCATGTGTACAAAGGAAAACAAGTGTTTGTTATCCAAGGAGCTCTCTTTCCAGTTAACCTCTTTTAAAGACTGCACCCAAAAACATGCGCAGAAGGGAGTTACGTGGCTACTCCTCCCCCAAAAAAATATCTTGGTAGGGAAAGGAGATAACACACTGTTTACTCCTATCAGGACACGTAAGGGGAATGGAAATGGAGACTAATTTAACTATCTTCTCCTTAACTGTTTCTGCAGAGAGAAGAGGAGGATGAGATGTAGACTCAGTTTTTGTTCTTTTTTTCTTTTCATCCTTGTGCCCTGTGAAGGGGGTGGAAAAGAGGAAGAAATTAGTAATAGACACTCTGGGTTCAGGAACAGCTGAACATCCATGTACTTGCCTTTTATATTTTTAATTAAGTTTTGCTTGTTTATAGGTCTCTGAACATTTGAATTCTGACCCCATGCTTGGCCTCTGTCAGTGTCCCCTTTGCCAGTTGGACTGTGGTAGCCGAGAACAACTCATTGCTCATGTATACCAGGTATAGAGTCTGAGAGAAGCTGTACACCCTCTTTTGAACACTGACTAATGAATGATTTAACTTCTTTCCAGCCCTAGATGTCATCTTAACCTTGGTCTTTGACTTTGGGTTAATTGCCTTGCTGGGGACTCAGTTCCCTCTTCAGGAAAATGAGGTTAATTTCTGCTCCCTGTTCAATGCATAGCACTTTGGAGAGAATGAATGGTATATATTGGATGACATGATTTGAGCCCCCAGGTGGAGACACTGGGGAAATTACCATTATTTCCATTAAAATTATTTAATGAATCTTTCAAACATGAACTAAAAACCAGTATCTGTTAATGATGAATAAATCTTCACTTTAAAAGAAAAAAAGTAAACTAAATGTTTCTGAAGTATTGGGGGAAAATTATAACCCTGCAGAATTGGAGGACGGGGTTGGGACTTAATTCTGATCTCACCCAAGAATCCCTGTACTTTTTATCATACTTTCTGACAAGGTAACCCTCCTGTTTGGTAGCCTAGACTCTGCTGTGAAGGTCTTTGCATTGCAAGAATGGGTGTATCTTGAGAATAAACTGTTTCCAATGATCTTTTCAGAAGTACAGGCATTTAAGCTCATATTCTCACTAACATATAGCCTCCTCTTTCTGCCTATTTCCCTCCTGTTGTTTCCTACTTAGATCCTTATTTCTTCATTACTTTTAACTTTCACTTAAAAGCCCTCCCACTATACTGTTCACAAAGAGAGATCCTGAAAAGTATTCTGGTTCAGACTCCATAGTTAAACTAGTTATCTCACTGTTTCTCAGGAGAGTCAGAACCTAGACCAGCAAGATAGGCAGGCCAAGAGCTCTATAAAGTACCAATATTTATTCCTACAGGAGTTATGTGGAGAATAGCTTAGAGTCTCCTGTTCCAACTATAAGAGGAAAGAACTAAGAAATTATTCTTTTGCCCAGTGGGTAGTTTACATGGTAGTGATGATGGCTTGGAAATGGTGTGTGAGAGAGTAGTTGGTTCAAACTAGGGTTGTCTTTTGCAGCACACTGCAGCGGTGGTGAGTGCCAAGAGTTACGTGTGTCCTGTGTGTGGTCGAGCCCTTAGCTCCCCGGGGTCCCTAGGCCGCCACCTCCTCATCCACTCTGAGGACCAGCGCTCCAACTGCGCGGTATGTGGAGCCCGTTTCACCAGCCATGCCACCTTCAACAGGTCAGCTTTATGTTCAACTTTATCATGTGGGGAACAAGTTGTAGGAAGGTCTGTTTTCCCAGAGCTGCTCCTTGCCAAAATGGAGACAGACAATGCAAACAGAGCTCACTGACCCATGTACTTTTGGAAACAGAATTGGTAATAGCATATAATTACTTTGCTCATTTTGGTTTGAGGAGAAATGTTATCCCAATTTCACTTTCCCATTCAGTACTACCAACTGGAAAAGGTCTTAAGAGTCATTCATGATAACAGATGGGAAGAAAAGCAGCCAGGCCTTTGGAAGGATGGCCAGTAGGACCTAGTCTCCACTGCTTCAGCAATGCTTCAGAACAGTAGTATGTGATTCTGACAGCCTAGCCCTGTTGGGCTTCATTGTCAGGTCCGACCTTCTCCAAAGGCTCTTGATCTTCATCCCAGTCAATGCCAAAGGGAAGGGGAGGCTGGACGTAGTGCACTGGGCAAGTGCCTTGCCTTCCTTTGTGGCAGGGTTCATTCCTGGGGCTGAGATTCAGGATTCACTGAACTTTAGAATTCTAAGCCTTGATCCACAGTAGAGACTTTCAGCCCAGTCAAGAATGACAAGAAGACATGGTTTTTCCCTTTGGTTCTGATTCTTCTTTACAACATGACTAATGTGGAAATATATTTAATATGATCATACACGTATAGCCTCTATCAGATTGCATGCCGTCTTGGGGAGGGGATGGAGGAGGGGAATTTAGAACTCAAAATCTTATAAAAATGAATGTTGAAAACTAAAAATTAATTAATTAAAAAAAAAAATGACGAGAGGAGGGAGTCCAGAGGGGCTGAAGGGCCTTTTTGGTTTTGGTGGTCACTGTGTGTATACAGAAACCATTCGGACTGGCATGTTTGGCCCTCTTCTCCTCAACATTAGTACAGCCTGATTCTTACCTAGATGGGTGAGTGCCATTGACCTGATGGGAAGTAGGGTAACTGCAGGGGTGCTGCATTTCCAAGGAATCAATGCAGGACCAGCACCTGAGTCGCCCAGGGGACCAGATTTTTTACAATCACAGCCATGCTGAGAGGTCTGACTATCCCCCACTTTTGCTTTTCAGTGAAAAGCTTCCAGAAGTACTGAATATGGAATCTGTACCCCCCAACCACAGTGAAGGTCCCTCCAACGCAGAGGGGAAGGACATTGCCTTCAGTCCCCCCGTGTACCCTGCTGGAATCCTGCTGGTATGCAACAACTGCGCTGCTTACCGCAAGCTGCTAGAAGCCCAGGCGCCTGGGGTCCGCAAGTGGGCTCTGCGGCGGCAGAACGAGCCCCTGGAAGTTCGGCTGCAGAGGCTGGAACGTGAGCGCACAGCCAAGAAGAGCAGGAGGGACAACGAGACCCCTGAGGAACGGGAGGTGAGGCGTATGCGGGACCGGGAGGCGAAGCGTCTGCAGCGCCTGCAGGAGACTGATGAGCAGCGGGCACGCCGCCTGCAGCGGGACCGAGAAGCCATGAGACTCAAACGCGCCAATGAAACTCCGGAGAAGCGGCAGGCCCGGCTTATCCGGGAGCGCGAAGCCAAGCGGCTAAAGCGGCGGCTAGAGAAAATGGACATGATGTTGCGAGCTCAGTTCGGTCAGGACCCCTCTGCCGTGGCAGCTTTGGCAGCTGAGATGAGCTTCTTTCAGCTGCCGGTGGGCAGTGTAGAGCTGGAGAGTCAGCTTCTGGGCAAGGTTGCCTTTGAGGAGCAGAACAGCAGCTCCCTGCACTGACCAGACCGGGTCCACACTGGCCAACACGGACCAGTACTCTGCCTGCCTGCAAGCCTCCATCCCCACTGCCGGGGAGGTTCCTGGGTTCAGACCCGGCTTAGCTCATGCCGTCACATGTGCACTGAAGCTTCCCTTGCATGCTGGAGGAAAATGGGGACAAAGGTGGCTGGCTTAGGCGGCCCCGGAGGGAGCAGGCACTCCAGACAACTAGATTCCCAAGCCATGGTTGCAGGACATTAGTGCTCTGCAAGCTAGGTAAAGCCCCGACTTCAGAAGGGCAAATAAATTAATTTTATCTTTACTAAGTTCCTTCAACGCTTTTATGTCAGCTTAATTCTAGGCTGATAAGGTAAGCATGGTGGTGTGTTTCAGAGAGTCTCGGAAATGGCGGCCTGTTTCCTTGACTCTTCTCGCAAGGAGGAGCTGTGTGTCAAGATGCAGCACTTGAGGTACTGAAAATAAAACAGGAGAACCAACCACATTTGACCATAAAAGAAAAGGGACTGTTGATTGAGGGGAGGCTCACTTCACTGACCATAATAAAAGCTGCTAAGACTGTCCCCACGGTACTGGGGGGCCATTTAACCCTGGCCAATGCCTTCTTTCCAGTCAGAATACAAGAGAGCTGTTTCTTGAGGTAATGGAAAATGTGGGTCAGGTCTGCTGCTACTCTAGGGGAGGAGGTGGTGCTGTGCTGGGCCAGGCGCCAACCGCTGCTCCCGGGCTGTCTTCCACTTGCCAGTGTGCCTTAATGTATTCTCCCAAGCAGCAGTCCTATTTAGGAATGTGCTTCCCCAAACAGTAGCAATGATAGGTCCCCATTAGTAAGGAACTAAGGCTCTAATCCATCCCCTGATAACTTTGGAGAGCTGCGGGTGGAGGACCAAAACCCATGTAGGAAAATACAGTTATTGGAGCACGCAAGCCCTCCTGGTGGTCAGTGCTGGGCCAAGATGACCCTCCCAACAGAGGTGCCGAGTCAAGGTGCTGAAAGTTCATACAGCAGCACAGAACAAAGCCCAAAGCATTCTTGGCTAGCCCAGAGGGAGTCTGCAGTTAGATAAGTATAGTTCTTAAGGTCCAAAAGGAAGTGGCTTAGTTCAGTTGTAGTCAGATGAACTCTACCAGGAACCTAGACCACTCTTAGTCATAATAAGGAAAATGGTCCCTTAAGATGGTCTTTTCTTCCTTCATAATGGAGCTGCCTGCAGTGTTCTGTCCAGGGCTATGCCTTCTCAGACACCCCACCCCCCATCACTCCCACCTAGTCCTGTTTTGTTCTGCCTTTGGCTTAGAGATGACGGGATCAGATGTTTACCCTTTTAGTTGATGTTTTCTGAACTTCATTTGAATTATTCACATTTTACAGATGTGAAAACAAGTCAATATACTATGACTTTCTAGAATGAGGCAGTGATGTAGCCAGGCACAGACTGCAAACCTGGAGATCGGGGTGTACATCAGCCCGCCCTCCATTCTGCTCACCTCAGCACCTGCTGAGGGCTGCTTACTCCTAGCAGTGTACTTCTCTTAGACAAATCCCTTTAACTATTACTGGTAGCAAGAGTCCATGTTAGAGACAGTACTGGTGACTGCCAGCTAGAGGTACAGATGAAAGGAAGAGCAGCAAATACACCCACGGGTCCCTACAGCTATGACTCTGTTCCCTATGGTGAGAACCAAGTTGTGGGGTCTTCATCGGAACTCATCAGCAGACAACACAGATTCCAGAACTATCTGCTCAGAGCTCTGGGAAGCCACAGACAAGAGTGCCCCCACAACCTAGGGCTGAGATAGGAAGAAGGCGCAAACACCAAAAGGAAAAGCTATTAGTTTATATAGAGATATATATAGATATTGATATATACTGTGTTTACATAGTCCACAAGTTAAATGCAGGTATCCATAAGAAGAGCATTAACAATAAAAATACAATCTGTGTAGCCAAGTACAGAGACTTAAAATGGTAAAACAGCAAAAAGGATCTCACAAAAGGTACAAATATACAGTACAAATTGATTTATTTAAAACAGTTACAAAAAAGCACAACAAAATAGAGATTATCCTTAGAATTATTAATGCTTTGTTAAAGATCAGGTAGGATTAGAGGGTAAGAAACAGTATCGGGTGGGGGGAGCACCTGACTAGTTCTAAGGCTTTAGATACGATGCAGTTGGTTACATGTTAATTCAGCCGTTACATAATGGGGATTATAGTTGAGGGATCGGTAATTTATCTACAGGAAGCTCCTACCTAAAACAGATCCACCCGGTCCTCTCTAGGTACGGCCTTCTCTCAGTCCTGGATGGCGTTCCCTTCCTTCCTCTCTCTATCCCGTCTTCATCCCCACCTCACCCCCCACCCCCTTAAGGTGCTGTCCTGTGATGTACGCTGGTTTGGCTACAGGGGACTCTGTGTGACTGGGAAGGTTGCTGGGGACCAGCCCTGTGATAATGCTCCAGATGTGCTATGATCCTCTCCCCAACATAATACACGTTCTCCTCGATGCAGCACAGGGCGTCGAGGAAGCTGAGGGTCCACACACTCACCCCATTACTTCCACCTCACTGCAGACTCCCTGTCCTTCAGGTAGTTTTAGAACCGCCTGATCAGCTTCCACTGTGAAGAAATCTCAGTCCCTATAACAGCCAGAAAGATGCAAATGCTTGTGGGTTTGACATTGAGTAAAGGCACAAGGGGCCCTGCCATACACATTGCAGGCAGGGACCCGACGTGAGGCCATTGCCACTGCTGGGGGTTGCAGCTGACACGGCTTTGGGATTACATGGACTTGGAGTTCTCTATCTACCAGGAAAATCTGGGTTTAAGGTGAGAAAAAAACAAAAAAACCTTTTAGTGTGAAAAGTGCATTTAATTACAACTGCTCCAGCTAGGGAAGTTCGGCAGGGCAAACTGAACCCTTGTGCCCTCCTGTCGCAGGTGCCCTGCACAGCCTGCAGGTGAGGAGAGCCCTGGCTCCACTGGGCCACAGACCAATTCTAGAGGCGACTCAGAAAGAAACGAGCAGCGGCCAGCTACAGACCCATATGCTCATTTTATTATTGCATAAGGAGAGGCCTGCCCAAGCCCAGGGAAATGGAGTGGTGCGGGCCTCCCCGCAAAGTCCCGGTGGGCTTCTCAGCCCCATCCAATCTGAGCAGGGGTCAGCCCTCCAGTTGTAGTGTTTGTGACTACAGTTTTTCTCATCTGGAAAGTATTGCAGCTTCAGTGTGAATAGGCACTCCCCTAGGGGGGCCAGGAAGTCTCCCTAAAACTTTGGCCCTCACTCTTGCCATTTTTAACCAATCCTTCAAGGCTCTCCAAGGTCAGTTAACTTTGTAGTCTTTTCTCCAATGGCCTCAGGGCACTTTTAACCACTCCAGCATGATCTCCCAACTCTTCTCAATATGCCTGCTGTCTAGCGTAGTTAGGCCATCACATTCTGCACTCCGTACATCCTGAAGGGTTTTCTGCTACCCTCAAAGTCTTCCTGTTGGTAAAAATGTAACCAAACTGCCTCTGAAGACTTGAGGCCTTCAGCCCTCTCCCACCACTAGGCTGGCTCTAAGGGTCTGGTAGGAGAGAGGCCTCTGAGGATAGGAATGCAGGCCTTAGCTTCTGACTCCCCTTTATTACCTTCAAAATCAGGCCACTAAAAAAATCAGAAAGGTTAAGAAGTCAATAGAAGAGAACGTAACTGCACCCATAACCAACTTATTTCTCCTAAAGGCAAACAGGGAGAAGATGCTTGAAGCGATGAGTCTGATGACAAGTGCCTGAGCCACTTTCTCTTGGATTCGCTCATCCTGAAATTATTCCCAACATCCCTTTTTTAATGGGACAAAATGGACAATTCTGCTAGCGACCTTGGCATGACCTGGGCAAAGATAGGGCACCACTGCTTCCTCCATAGCCTGAGTTTAAAATATTTGGCCAAGGGGACAGAAAGGCCTGGTGAGAAAGCAGCAAAGCAGGAAGTTAGCAACAGGCAGGAGCTACGGGCAGACTGCCTCAGTGGCACCGTGACCAGGTGGGGTCAGGAGCATGGCAGCGACTCTGGCTACGTGGGCTTGGTGCCTCATGTGCTTTGGAAAAGGCCAGGCAGCTCAGGCCTGAGGTCTTAGAAAGGAGCACTGGGCATCCAAAGGGAGGGACAGCGGTGGATCATCATCCTTTAACTTGACGTTCTCCTCACAAGATGCTAATGACTCCTCTACACAGTGGAGGAGTGCGCCATCCATCACAGCAGCACTTGGAACCATCCTCCCCCCTCCCCCCATACCCGCTTTTATCACCAGCTCTGGGATTATCCTTCCCCCACAAAGTAACTTGGGGCCTCTGGTCCTCCAGTCCTTCTACCCATTCTCAACCCCACGGATAACCTCCTTCCTTTAAAAATTGCTGCTCCTTCAATTCCTACTACCCGCAGGTTCTCTCTCTTACCCAATGCTGCAGTCTGGGAGGAAGAATAGATACATCACAGCCACTAGGACAGAAGATGCCTCAGCAGCTCAGACTGATGTCTACAGAGCAAAGGCCCGGAAAGGACTCATGAGACCGTTGTTCTCCAAGACCCCTGACCAGCTCATCAAAATCAAGTAATACATGGTGTGTGCATGGCACTGTGCTAGGTACTGTACAGCTAACAGGGCGCAGCTTCACCAGGAGCAGACAGAAAGGGGACAGCAGCAGCAGCAGAGAGGGCAAGGCAGAGGAGCGGAAGGTGCACAAAAAATGACCCCTTCTTCTGGAAGGGAAAGTGGCTGTTCTGAGTACACCAGGTCCAAGCCACGCAGAGAACCTGTCATCCGTAGGGGAGGGGCAGGCTTTGTTTCCGCCTCTCTTAATGGAGGGAGCTACAGTTGATGGCCAATGATGACTTCTTAGGCATACCCTGCCTGGATGGCATTGTACTATACTAATCAGCTTTCCAGTGAAGAAAGCTACTACTGAGAAACCTGTGCAAACAGTATTTGCTAAATGCCGTCTACTCGGAACAATCAGAAATGGGTGTCTTCTCCCAAGGCTTAGTGATCAGAGAGAATTTGTCAGACCACCTCCAGGCCCCAACTTGAGGAAAACAACGAGGAAAAGCAGCATGTGGGGAGACCGGGGAATAGAACGGAGGCAGGGAAAGATCTCAAACGCAGTACCAAGGTTCAGTGTTCATCAGATACAGGTGGCGTTTGGTTATTAGAGCTAGCAACTCAAGGAACTGGGGTCCAGTCTGGCAGTCTGGCACACAGGGCTTTACAAAGTGACCAGAGAGCTACTATCAAAAAATGAACCTCTGAAGTGCAAGACTGGCAGCAAACAATTCAAGGCTTCAGTCACTCTCTTCTCCTGTGTTCTCTCTGGCTGGCCATTTTCAGAACATCCCCCAGGAGGTAGGTAATATTCATCCCCATTTGGCAGTTGGGGAGAAAGTGAGACAGAGAGACAGAAAGGTCACAGAACTTGCCTAATGTCAGTAAGAGAAAAAGCTGAGGTCAGCCCTTGGGATTCATGGACTCCTGATCCTGAGGCGAGCCATTTCCACAAACACGTGCTACCTCCTGGTCAGAGTTGGAATCTATAACCAGGGAGAAGCTAAAGCAGAGTTAGGTGACACTGCCCTGAGTTACCTTGAATAAACTAAAATAAACTCATCTACCTTCTGGTGGCTCATGTAAGAGCCTGGCTCTCAACATTCCAGAATCCCATAGGCCTGGCTGAAGCTCCAAGTTGTGGGCATAACAACCCGGGGCTTCCAAAATGGGAGGAGGCCAAGCAAAAATACCTGTATTAAAAAAAAAACACCATTCCGTGAGGAACTTGCCCCAACAGAGAGGCCAGAGGACATTAGGTATTAGGATATGTGGATCGAGATAATTAACCCTCAACTTTAAAGCCCTTCCTCATTAATGTGAAGGATGGCGAGAGGAAGCCTGAATACTGGATGAGACAGTGGGGTCCTAATGGATAATGCCAGGGAGTCTTGGCAATTCCAGCCATCGGCATCCTCACCAATCTGGGGGATGGTATCTGTCTTGGCTGCTCAGCAGCAGAGAGAGCACAGACATGATTCCCAAGGGATTTTGGAAATGGAGAGGAAAGTAAATGACAGTTGGAGGGGAAACCCAGAGAGTCCCTGGAAAATTAGTGGGACTTAGTAGGGATAGGTAAAAGTTTTACAGATGAGACCGGTAAGGTCAGCAGAGCCTTAGGAAGAGGCCCAAACAGAACAACTCTGCTGAAGGATAGTAGAGAGATGGGGACGTGCAGGCACTTGGGCACATTAGCAGAGAAAAGAAGAGGGAGTGCAGGTGTCTAAGGAAAACAACAATAGACTAATTTTTCAAAGACTCTCCATTACTGATTTAGGAATTCAGATGACTTTGAGCTAATCATAAATGATCTCAGCAGGCTGGACTTTTGTTGAGACACATGCATTCCCCTAAGTTCCATCTATTTCCCTAATAGCTCCTTCCTCCAATGTCCGCCAGCTGCCAGCTGTCTGCCAGAGTCTGGATTCTTAGCAATCCCTTCATTCTTGATCCTAGAGGTGCTTAAATTTCTCTCCAGCCCTGAAAGTCACTGTATGCCTTGTGAAAAAGGATGGGGGAGGAGGAAGGCGATGAGGCCTAAATACAAGCCTATAGAGGAGACTGTGTTCCTTGCCCACAAACCCAAAGATGACCACCTGTAACAAAATTACCCTTTAAAGTGCACATCTCTCAAATGAAGGGCTCTGGGATAGGAGCCCCTTATTCCAAAGAGGGGGATCTCCCCTTCCCCCACCCCCAAAAGAGAAAAGAAAAAACTCCAGACAGTTTAACTGCTGCTACTCTAAGCTGTGTGTGGATCATAGTTTTTGGCTCTTACTTTGTGGCCCTCCCTCTGCCCCCTGCTCCTGATGCTTGGACCTCTCTAATGCAGGGACTGGGCAAGGGGAGAGGAGGATGGGGAGGTGCCGGTGCCTGGGATACACCATATCCCTCCCAAGCCTAGGCCAGCACCTCCGCCCCCTCCCACCCTCAGTCCCCAATCTAAGCATTTTCTAGAGCCATCCCAGAAGGATGCCAAGGGTTGCTAAACATCACACACCCTATAGCATGAGGCAGATGTCTCTCTCCTCCCTCCCCAAATTCCCATGGCTAAGAAAGTGGATTAACTACTCAGAGTGTGCAAATTCTCCACCTGCTCACGGTGAGACTCAGCTCTGGACTAAAACTCCGGTCCTGGTGTGGGGGAAGAGTTCATTTTCCTGCATTAGAACGCCCTTCAATGGAGAGTTTCACCTCCTGTGGAATGAAAGAGGGACGGAGCAGAGTGGCCCGTGCTTCCTCCCCCTGCACACCGTATCTTTGGAAGCCCGTGGCTGGCCAGCAGGACTGAGCACCAGGCTCAGGCTGGGAGGGCTCCACTGGGTGGGAGCTCTGGGCCAATGCCCCCTCTCCTGAAGGCTGGCTCTTCCTGTCACTGTCAGATGGCTCTCTGGATCCCAAGACTGTCCTCTCAGGTCTCTCTTGGGAGAGACCCAACTGGTCTGGGGGAGGGAAGCCAGCCTGAGAAACCGAGTTACTATTCAAGCTCTGTAAACTGATAGAGATGCAAACATCTCCCACCTGCAGCCGGTGGCAAGGCAGAGAGAAGAGCTGTGCTGTCCGCCCAGGGCTACAGGAGGACCAGCCCTGGCCATACACAAAGAAAGGGTGTTCAGGGGGCACATCAATGCTTACTTTGCTCTGTTGCTCCCCGACCACAAAATGCAGCATGACAAAGCCAGGCCACTGGCTCTCCTGAATGTCTACCACGGTGCTGGAGTCAATCTTCAGTCCCCCGCTCACCTCTGCGCTGCGCACAAAGTCTTGGGTCTGTAGATCCTCAACCCGCTTCAGCTCTCCTGTGGCCAACTGGATAATGGCACCTTTCATGAAGTGAGAGGGCAAGTGGGAAGAGGTGCTAGGTGGTGGGGTTGGCTCCTTGTTTGGGAAAGTGGCTCGAACCTGCATATCCAGACTTGATGTCACTAGGATTTCTGACCCCATGGACAGCAGGCCCTGCTCAGTACCAATGGGCACCAAATTGCCATTGGCTATAACCATTGCTTTGGGTAAAGGTCTATGTTTTGCCAGCTCTTGAGGAGACTGGGTGTAGAGGCCCCGGGCCTGGCTCTTCTCTGTCATTTCTACTGGGTTCCTAGCCAGCCCTCTCACCTCACTCTGATGATCAGGGGCATGATGGGACAGATTAAGGGGGCTGGGCTCATCTTTCCTCTGAGTTGCCATCACTCGATAGTCCTGAGACACTAATGTTCCAACCACTCTCTGGACCTCTAGGTCAGTATCTGGAGTCCCTCGGTGTGCCGGCACCGCCACCTCCATCCGTGGAGTCTGAGAACCTGAAAACAACTGTCCGTCCACCACACATTCCACCACTGTTCCTAGTCCCTGGCCGTCATCCTGGTTGCTGGGGGGGTCCGTGGCTTCACTTTCTCGTCTTACCATGTTCCGTTCCATTTGTCTCTGCCCTCCGTTGGGAGTAGTTACATCTGGAACAGGCTGGACCTCATGTAGTGCATGGGCAGAATCTGGGCTTGTTCCTGTTGGAGGGATTTCATGTGTTGTATACCCAGGGGGGAGCCGAGACATCTGATAGTAAATGGGCACTCGGCCTGGAGTGAGGTCCACTGGCTGAGTGCCTGAGTGATGCTGCAGCTGACCTGGTGGAGAAGTGGCGGCAGGGACTTTGTTGAAAGTGTGGGCTGGAGATGTGGTCTGGGGGGGAGGGGTAGCCCCTTCTGCCAGGAGTGAGGCATATGGCACAAAATGAGGAACATGAGAGGTTGTGAGGTTGGCAGAAGGGGAGAGCAGAGGACTAGGGAGAAAATTGGGTGGCACGGCATAGGGCATAGTGTAAGGAGATCCAATAAACTGCAGAGAAGTGGGGGGAAGCTGAGCATAATGGATGGGGGGATAGTGGATTCCTGGATGCTGAATCAGTGATGATGCTACATTAAAGGCAGAGGGCAGGGGGCTCATGTTCACCACAGGATGGAGGCCAGTTGGGGAAAATGTGGCTGGTGGCATGGCCACCTTGTACAGCATACCATACTGGTCCACTGTTAGACCAGTGATGGCCTCCACTCCATCACTACCAACACTCTGTCTTCCTCCTGCCTGGGTCTGCCCAGTCACCACAACCCCCCGACACCAATCAGAGGCATCACTGGAGGGTGTGTGGTTGGTTGAGCAGCTGGTGGTCCTCCCCATATCCTCGCTGGTCACAGGGAGGTCTCGTTTCTTTGGTGGAAGGCATTCCTGACTCCTCTCATGAACAGGTTTCATATTGCTTTGTAGTATTCCCAGAGCCCGGAGGGGGTCGGCTTGCTTCTGGGGACATCAGAACAGACTTCTCTGTGATTTCCTTGTACCCCCTTCCACTGTTGACTGGGGCACCCACATCTGCTGGGGAACAAATCAAAGGCACAGATAGATAACCTGGGGGTGGGCTCCACGTGCAAACAATGGAGTGGTTCACCAAGCAGAAGCAAGCAGCAGGGCCTGTGCCCAGGGAAGTCTGTGAGAGAGGAGAGACGGAGGTGAAGGGAACAAAGAGCAAGGTCTGAGCATGACAAGGAAATAGGACAAAAGGACAAATAAACGGCAAGAGGGAGGACACACAGAAAAACCACAAAGCCAAAAGAGCTAAGAGGAAGAGAGTTAGCTGAAACATAAATAATCTGTGGGCGCCGCTCCTCTGAGGAGAACAGCAGCTTCATTACAGCCACATCTCTGATGATGACCTTGACTGTTCACAGCTCTCAGAGTCCCCTCCAGCGGGACTTTAAACACCGAATCTTTCCTGCTGACCCTCCTTCCTTAAATCTCTCTCCTTTCTGCTGTCATAGACTAATGTGTCATCTCCCTCTCTTGATCCTATGATCTCATCCTCACTTCCTCTCCCTTCTCTTATTTGGTTTATGACTTCACCTATCCCCACCCCCGCCTGGCTAAACTCTCCTGTCTTGGATCACTCACCCCACCATCACCACTCCCTAGGTCTTCTAACCTACTTGTCTCATTGTCACCTTTTTTTCTCCTTATCCGAAAGTTACCGAGTTAACTTTCAAATGCCATCAACTTGGTTCTAAAAAAACTGTCATTCCCCATTATGACTCAGAGCAACTCAAGCCCCCATATTCAGTAATTGGTTCCATATATAACTTATATTTGCTTCTCTTCATCCTCAAAAGGTGGCCCAATCTGCCCTCTGGGCTACAAGAATCTCTAGTTCTCGTTCGGGTAAGAGCAATTTTTTCCCTCCACTTGACTCCCCCCCAATTCTGGGTCAGCAATATCTTACTATCTGTTTTCTGGATTCTCTTCCCTCTCCTTTCTCTGCATGAGGTTGTCAATGGTTCCTTTTCCTTGGAACTTTCAAATATGTTGTTGTAAACTCACTCCTAAAATACTAGTCCCCCTTTAGAATCATAGGCCCATTTTCTCATTTCATTGGACAGTGTAGTACTAGGAAAAAAGCTTTCTCTTTTCCCTTTTTTTCCTTAATCACCTTTCACAAACATTTTTGGCCACCATCAATCAGAATCTTTTTTTGGCCTACAAGCCCTTCTTATGAAGTTTGTTACCTATTTCTTCCAATTAACTTTCAGTCTTCAGGATATATTCTTGAAGGATGAGGAGAGCTATAATATTGGATTCTCTTCGGTTTTCCTATTCTTATACCCAGATGCCATTCTGCAAGGAGCCTAAAGAGATGCCCATTTTTATTACCTGAGTTTCCAGCAATGCTTCTGGGCAACTGTAATATGAAGCAGTCTCCTCCCGACTGGCTTGGTAGTCTGGAAAAAGGAAACAGGATAGGAGAAAAGAATGAATAGGACACCTTCATTTCTGACCCTTCCAAGGACCATCAGAGAACAGGTAATAGGAGAGACACAAAAAGCGAATTCTGCAGGTCTTTTAAGCAGAGTAGTACAGTGACTAGACAGTATAGCTGCACAATCTATTAAAAAAAAAGTCATTTTTAAATCTTATGTAACTTAAGGAGTCTAATTTCACTCTCTCTCCAATGTGAAAGCCTTCTTGATCCTTTCTGCTCCTTTTACTTGCTTGATTCTTTTACTATCCTCTCACAATTTCAATTTATAATCAGCATAAATATTTAGCTGGATCCAGGAATAAATAGAAAAGCTTCTCTAAGCCCATGACCAAGTAAAAAGACAAGATCAATTTCATGACTTCACCTTTGCCCTCAGGTGTGGAAAGCTAAGGCATGGAGGTCATTTGAATAAGAGAGGCACCGGGGAAAAGAACTATTAATATTTCTGGGGCAGAAAAGGAGGTCAAGAGGGAGTCAAGTCACTCAAGAGGAAGCTTTATTAAAATTTCCAACAAAAAAACTGGACACCAACCAGTCAGCCAATATCATTTGCTAAATACCAGCTTTGTAGAAAACACAGTATCAGGTGCTAAAGAAATAAAACACAGTGCCAATCCTCAAGGAATTTACAATCTACTAACTGGAGAAAGCCTAGAAGCACACACCCATTAGACTATAAACACACCAATCTAGACAGGCGACCGATGCCAAGTAGAGAAGGACAAGGCACTTGATATTAAAGCAGGCTAAGCACTATGAGAAGCTGCTAATAACACTACTTTTCAGTACTCCAAGTCTATCAGTGGAAGACATCAAAAAGATATGTCATCTGGGGTCCAAACTGTCCTGGAAACTGAATGCTTGTACTATTTATTACACATGTGGAGAAGCAGCCAAAAATAGGGCAAGAAGATAGAATTCTTAAGGGAAATGGACTAAAAGGATAGAGTAGCAATGCAAATTCCTGGTCACATAAATACAAATTAACTGGAAACAGTCGTGTACGCCCTTTCTATCCTTTAGTCACAGCAACGGAAAAGCAGGCAGTTCTGGCTCATTCAACAATTCTGTCATGTTATAGCCACAGGGGCGATCCATGCCCCCCAATCTCTGAAGCATTCAAGAAAACCCACTCTACTCCCCCTTTTTATCCCTGAATGCCGAAAGGAAGGAGGGTGCAACAGAATTTACTGGAACAACAGCAGCGAACCGGGCCGAGTCAAGATAGGGAGTAAGAATGACCTATCTGACTCCCTCCCGCACGGATCGATCAGTTATCGGAACACAAACGCCTGCTTTACTCAACAGCTCGCTCGGGATGGGGCTCTGGGAGAAGCGGCTCCTGATGCGCCCCGAGGAGTTCGGGGCTCCCCGCGAAGCCCCGCGGCAGAAGGGGGACCCGAAGGGGGAGCGCTGACCCGGCAGGTGCTGCTGCCCGAGGCCTCGGCCCGGGGCACCCCGAAGGCTCCTCGCCAGGGCCGCCGGTTCACAAACGATGGGGGGGATGGGTTTAAATTTCCGGGGGAGGGAGAGTCACAAGAGGAACCTCGAAGGGAGCGCGCCCGCTTCCTCGTTTGGGGGTCACGGAGCGGGAGGAGGGTGGAGCTCACAGGGGCTGGGGGGGTGAGGGTCGGCTGGGGGGGGCGCCTCCCGCCGGGGGGGCAGCCAGAATCGGGGACCCCCCCAGTCCCGGCCTGGGCCGGAGCGGAGCCCGCGGGGCTGCGGCCACTCGCGGCAGGAACTCACCGGCCCATCTCACGGCGCTTCCTCGGCTCCTCCCGCTGGTGTCAGGGCCGTGGCCTGAGGAGCCGCCGCCGCCGCCATCCCCGGCCCGGAGCCGCCCCACACCCAGCGCCCAGCGCCCAGCGCCCCCAGCCTGGCGCCTGGAGATGGCGTCACCGCATCCTGCCCCCGGCGCCCGAAGATGACGTCACAGAGGCGGGAGGGGGGTGGGGCCGCGGGGATGAGCGCCGGGCCTGACGCACCACCAGCTGGCCGAACCGTGGCGGCGGCCGCGGCAGCGGCGCAGCCGGAGCGACGCTCGGGTCACGTGGCCCGGTGCCCCGCCCCTTTTCCCCCAGGTGACCCTGACCTCCCTCTGACCCCACCCCTTTACTGTGGAAGGGCCATGAGCTCACGTGGACCCCATCCTGGGCCATCCCGGAGCCTTTGTTTGGGAGCCCCTGGACTGGTCCCAGGCCGGTGTGCAAGTCCAGGAGGCAGCCCCTGTTGATTAAATCAATGCCTCCTGCTCTGGGAGCAATAAACAAATCAATTACGGCGTTCCTTCTGGATGGGCGGAGTCTCCATCCCTGGGAAAACACCTGTCTGCCACTCCTTAGTATGTGTGGATTCCCTCGGGGCGGGGACTTTGCTATTTTGTATCCCCTGGTTTAAGCCAGCGTAAGACGCAGAAATATCTGATAAATGTTTTCTATCCCTCCATTATTCATCATTCGTCCTCCGTCCCTCCATCCAATCCAATTCAGACTGCCTGAAAGAGACAGTTAAGTATAGTGGATGCAGTACTTCTGGACTTGCAGTTAAGGATCTGCATTCAAATGCCACCTCAGACGCTTGGCTTTTCTTCCAGCAGCTCCCCAAAACTATATTTATTTATAGCACACCTCTCTAGGCCTATTTTCCCAACCTGGGCTTGAACTTCCCAAGCTGCTTTCTCCAGGCAACAGCTGGCTAATTCTCAGAGTTCTAGGGGCAAACCTGAGAGGCTGGATTTCTAGAACGCTTATTCGTGAGCCCCCACTAGTGTGTTCCCTATTTATCATCAAACAGTTGACACCATTAACTTTAAAAAAAAAAGTATAGGTATAATAAGAACAGTTGGTAATCGTCTCCAAAGCCTGAGGGGTACAATCTCCTACCAATGTATGTGAAGCCCATAGGGAGAGTGGGCTCAAACTTAAAATACAATGATAGTGAACAAATATATATAATCAATGCAGCAAAGGGTACAGGTCGCTCCTGGTCCTAAAAGTCCTTTTCTCCTCTTGTGGAGCCCTCTTAAAGTTCCCCTTAGGTCTTACTTTCTACTGGGCCCCAAGGATCAGGGCCTTTCTAGAGTCCAAGTTAACATTTCTGTCATTACTTTCTACTGGGCCCCAAGGATCAGGGCCTTTCTAGAGTCCAAGTTAACATTTCTATCTGCCATGACAGATCATGCTTCCTGATGATGATGCCATCCACAGGTAACTTATCTTTCCATATCTCTCTGCAGCCATGTCCATTGCTGTAGGCCACTACTCCATTGGCCACTGCTACTACTGCCATTCTACTGCCACTGCTAATGGGCCTTCTAATGAGTCCTCTAGATCTCCTGATCTTACGAGATTTTTTTTTTTACAAGATCTTTCTTACAAGATCTTAGACTTTCATTTCATAATGTTTATTTGCCCAAGATCAAAAAAGAATAAAGACCAAGAAATAGAGGAGCCTATGAGCTCACAGCTGCCATTCCTGGCTCTTCTGACCAACTTTAAGTAGTCCCTTGCAACAGCAAAGAAAAAAGGAGAGATGAACACATACCCACTCAGTTTCACCTGAGTCATCTATTCTTCTTGCCAGCTAGACAGCTAGACAGTCAACTAGATGACTTTTCACCATCTCCTAACATAAGCCTCTCAGTCATGCATAGCCAGAAACTAAGTTCTCCTGGTTTCTTGGATTTGAAACCTCTATGGTCACTTGGATTGAAACCAGATGTGGAAATATCTGCATATGCTCTAAACTGGCCCTTATAAGCTGGTTCACCCATGTTGCAAATCAAAGAGGGTTTGCAATTTGTGCACCAAATGAAACTGCACGTCTTTGATCTATGTTCAAGGTACACAATATTTCTCAGAACTGAAAGGGACTTCAGAGGCTCAGTGTCCAACCCCTACTGGAACAGGAATCTCTTCTCCAGTAAGGAATTCATCAATGCAGTCCATTCCACTTTTCAAAAACTTCCATTATGTAGAAGTTTTTTCTCCAAATATTCAATAAACATTTTTATTTAGTGCCTATTATGTGCAAAGCACCATGTAGAGTGATACAAAGACAAAAGCCAAACAGTCCTTGCACTCAAGTTGCTTATCTACTTGGGGAATATGATATGTACAAAGTCATTTCAAGTGTGAAAAATGCTAGTAACTGGTGAGGAGGGGGGAGGGGTAATTAAGATTTTTGAAATAGCCAGATCTATGCTTTAGGAATATTAATTTGGCAGCTGTTTGGAGGATGAGTTAGAGAGGGGAGGAACTAAGTGGGGAAATCAATTAGTAAGCTATTGCAATAGTCTAACAGCTGTGAGTAGAGAAAAGGAGGTGGATAAGATGATGATATAGATATAGATGGTGGTCTACAAGACTTAGCAATTGATTGGATATGGGGAATGAGGGAGAGGGAAGAATCAAAGTGATTCTAAGATTGAAACTCTGGATGAGTATCAGGATGGACATAGACAGTTTTTTCTACTGTCTTTGTAACCCTAGTACCTAGCAAATACCTTGGACATTGCAAATACTTAATAAATGCTTGTTGAATTGCATTGCATTGCATTGCATTGCATTGAATTGAATTGCTGGTTTTATCATCAACAGAAACAGGAGAATGTGGAGGAGGAATGTATGTAGGAGGAGATATAATGAATTCTATTTTGGGCTGGTGTTTGAGATTGTGAAACAAAAGATTAGATTTGTTGTCTTTGGTCTCAGAGGATGGAAGCAGGAACAAATGGTAGAATTAGCAGGGATGTAAATTGAGGCATAATGTCAGGAAAAACTTCTCAACAATTGAGGCTGCCCAAAAGTGACAGATACCTGTATGAAAAGGTAGGGGGTTCCTCCTTTTGGGCCTTCATGATGAGGCTGTACAATCACTTGTGGAATATGTTTTAGTGAGGATTCCTTTCTGGTATAACTTGAACTAGAATTCAGGGATTCTTAAACTTTTTTGAGTCATTGACTCCTTTGGCTGTCTTAGGAACTTCTTCTCAGAATAATGTTTTAAAGTGAATGAAATAAAATATATAGGATTACAAAGGAAACCAATTATATTGAAATTCAATATATTTTTAAAAATAAGTTTACAGCTCCCAAGTTAAGAACCCCTGACTGAACAGTCATTGAGGCTTCTTCCTCTTTCCAAATTCTGTGATTCTAAGATGTCTGTGGGATATCCAGGCAGAAGACGCCCGGCAAATAGCTAGTAATTCAGGAACGGAGCTCAGAAGAGAGGGAGGTCAGATACGTCATCACTGCCAGCAGAGTGTCACACCTGTTCTTCAGGGTTGGCAAAGCATTTTAATGTGTTACTTCATTTACATCGATTTTTAGACCCTCATAGAGGGCTGAATGAGAGAATGTGAGAATGCAGAGAGAGAGAGGAAAAGAGGGTCCTCGACAGAGGTTTTGGAGATGCCTCTGCTTAATGGTGCAAGGAGGGTAATGATACAGCAAAGAAAACTGTCCAGTGGCCCGAGGGGAGAGTGTCCAAGAGAAAGGAGCGCTTAGCAGCATGGGTCGAGTAGTAAGATTGGAACCCAGAATGCAAGGGATTAAAAAGTGAATGGAGAGGAAGGATATGTGAGTAACAGGCATGAACGTCCCTTCTAGGAACTGACTGGTAAAGGAAGACAACAAATATAATATATATGTGATATATACATACATACACACACACACACACACACACACACAATGTATATAACAAGAATATGACTTGGGGGGATAGCAGGATTAAGTGAAGGACTTTGAAAGATGGGGGAGAGGTGGACAAATTTGTTGGTGGTAAGAAAGGAGGAAAGAATTACCCATTTCCTTTGTGTCTGCCCTCTGGTGCAAAACAGAAAAAATTCAACCCTTCTTCCACATTCTCAAGCTCAATGTATCCAAACTATCTCTCTCCAAACCATCCCACCTCAGAGCTTCCCTCTTTCTGTTGATGGCCTCACCATCAAAGAGCTAATGCATGAGCATGAGTATGTAAAGCATGTGTAAAGCTCTTTGAAAACTTTGTAGTGCTATTTGGTAGGACTCCTTCCTTTACCTATTGTTTCAAACAGTTTAGGTAGTATTGGAATCAGTTGTCCTTTTAATGTTTGGTAGAATTCACTTGTAAATCAAGCTGGTCTTGGAAATTTTCTTTTATTTATTTATTTTTATTTTTTGGCTAGGCAACGGGCTTAAGTAACTTGCCCAGGGTCACACAACTAGTAAGTGTTATGTGTCTGAGGCTGGATTTGAACTCAGGTCCTCCTGAATCCAGGGCCTGTGCTCTATCCACTGCACCGTCTAGCTGCCCCTGGTCTTGGAAATTTTAGATGGTAGCTATTATCATTATAAGGAGAAATTGAGGGGGAAAAAAGGGTATAATTGAGGAGGCCTGGAACCTCCTCACCTTGGAGCATCCTACCACTCGTGGCCTGCACAACATGAGATACCCCTCCACAAGGCCTACCTTGTTCTTCCACGGTGAGTTCCTTATGGACCCCCACCCCCATTTTGTGAAGGGGTCCAGACCAACCTGATTTTGTTCTCCTCCCAGCCCTGTTCCTGTCTTCTGGATTTCAAAATCGTGACTTCATAATGAGTACCTTCATCTTTCACCCCAATTTTTAGCTCCTTTGTATTTATGTCCCCAGAGCTTAGCACAGTGCCTGGTACATAGAAGGCACTTTATAAATTCTTATTTCCTTTCAGTCCATCAGTCAATATACATTTAAGTGCCTGCTATGTTCCAGGTACTGTGATAAGCTCTGCAGTTACAAAAAAGGCAAAGGATAGTCCCTGCCCTCAAGGAGCTTACAGTCTAATGGGAGAGACAACATGCAAACAA